AGTTAGAGGACTTTAAAGTGATAGGTTAAATCCCCCAACTTGGTTTATTATTTTAGGTTCTGATACGAGAATGTTAGCCTCTAGGTGGAGGGAATCGAGGGAACTCTAAAGTGAGAGCTAGTATCTTCATTGCCTAGCCGGTCTTCATAACTAAAACTTTAAATTAGCCAATGTTCTTTGAAACATCTCTAGTAAGGGTAAATAATATTATTGTTCCTATTTGACATAACACAATTTGCATACTTCCACAACAAAATTCCTATGCTTATTCTTATTACTGATTCATGATAAGAAGAAAGATATTTTCATATTAAATACTTTTTTTCTACAAAAACTTTAGTTATCTTTTTACTGTTTCATTAAAATATAAAAAAAATATCAAAAATATTTTAATTTTAAATTCCTACAAAAATCATTCTCAGTTTAAGTAATTATCTTTTTAAAAATAGAAAAACTTTCTGAAGGGTGCATATTGCATAATCTTCTCTGTGGGTTCGATATTCAGGTCTTAATAAAAAATTCCTACATTACTTAATAACGATATGTATACTTGCGTAAACCGCGCCCCGTGTTTCGCTCCCCCATATATAAATTAAAAAATTAAATTCTTATTTTTCTTCAGAATCAAGTCTTTGCTTTTGTTGCAAAATAAGGAAACATAAGTGAAAAATACCATCAGAACTATAGCTATAATGAGCATAAGCATTAGGTATCCAGGGATCAGACACCAAAATCTAAGATACCCTTTTGCCTTCGGGGCTCTCCACCTTATAACTCATTAATCAAAATTCAAATCATTTTGAGAAATTTTAGATAGTCTTATCTATGGTTCATAGTTTTTAACCTGAGTTGTTAAAATTTTTTCTGAAAGTCTCACTATAGCATTTAAAAAGCAAAAATTATAAAAGTCTTTAAGTTAAATTTGCTACCACAAAGGAGTTATTTGAGGACAAGTAACATTTAAGTTTGGGGGAATTGATTCTTCTAAAAATAAACTATTTTTAGTGTATATTTTATAAGCCATTTATGTACATTTTTAAAGATATAGCACTTTAAAGGAAGGTATTTAACATATTTTTGGTTTCAGGTATATAAATTGGACATTTAAAGAAAATGAGGGAAAAATGGAGCAAAATTGAAGATATTTGTGTCGCCACCCCTTTGCGCCATAGCACCAAAGACAAGAGAGATCGGCACTATAGCATCGCAGATCGGCGCTATAGCACCGCAAGCTGACGCTATAGCACCAGTAACTACTTTTCTAGAAGATCCAATGAATTTGGTCAAATTTTGGAGGGTTGTTTGAAGCAAACCTTAATTATTTTCTGTTTTCTATTTTCTATTTAATGAGAAGGATTTGGCCAAATTTGGAGATCTTTTGGAGCCTAAAAACTACAATTAGGCGGCAATAGTAAATTAGGTTTTGCATATTTAGTGTTCAAGTGCAAGTGTGAGTGTGTTTTAGTGTGGAAAAGTATGCAGATTGCTTAAAATAAACTACAAAAGTTTACTTGGGGAGAAGACATAAGGTACTTTGTATTTGTGTTTATGTTTTTGTTGTAAGACTTGAATTGTAAGACTTGGTTGTAAGACTTGAATTTCAATGCAAATGTTTTGTTTTTGTTTAATCTCCATCAATTCTGAGTAGTTCCCTTTCTTTCTTCTTGAATAAGGGACTTAAGCTTGTGGGATGAGAATGTTTTAACGGTTTCTTTTTATTCTTAAAAACTGTGATGATATTTTTATTGAATCTTCATTTACTTTGCAAACTGGTCACATGTGAAGTTAAAATCCATTGAGAAACATAACGGCCTGGGAGGGCTATGGTTTCACTCAACTAGTGGATATCACACTTCATTCTAAGCAGAGTCATTGTGATCATCTTAGGGGGAGTGCAAATAAATTGGGAGATAAGTTTTGATGGGCGTAGAATTTGTTCGATCTAAAGTGACATGCTAGATTCTTATTAATTTGGCTTAAGGTTTAGTACCCAGACCCAAGGATTCGACCATCATGATGGCATAGGCTTAGAGGCATCTAGAGATGAGAGGCTAGATAACACTGATACAAAATCGATCTGTTAAGGAGTCAGCCTTAAGTTAGTTAATGTTCTTTGCTAGAACCAAGAGGGGGTAAAGAATAAGGTATGCTTCTAGTTGTCACAATCCATCATTTTTTTTTTAAAATCATTTGAATCCTACATAGATTAAAATCTCTTTGCAAGGGGAAATGTTTTACATAATATTCAAACTCGTTGTTATATTTTGTTAAGCTATTACATTTAGTTGTTATTTCTTTATTAACTCTTTAGTATTAATTTTAGTGAGCATGTCATTTTAAATCATTTATCTTTTTAAGTTGCAATTTAAATAGAATTTTTGTAAGTTGATTTTAAGAGTTACCACATTCCTCGTGAGATCGATGATGGGGTTTTTAAAGAAAATCCAATATTACTTGAAACGATATGTATGCTTGCATAATACCCCTATAGTAAAAAATTATTATATAATTCATAAATTATTATATTTATTCACACTAGCTGCTAGATATAATTTGAAACATATTTTCTGGCAAAATTAAGAAGATTAAAAATACAAGTAATTGTGGGTCGGGTCACTTGGCACCTAGGAGCTAGATCCTGGCGACATGGCACCTGACTCTCTGTTTTCACATATAGGTCTGGTACCTAGGCATCGGAAGGTGGTGCTTAGGCTCTAATTCACTTTGTGCTCCTTTGCTTCATTTGACCCAATTTTGCTCCATTTTTGCTTCTTTTTTTTTTCCAAAACCCTATCTCTTGTACCTGCAATAAAAAATAAGTAAAATATCTTCCATTAAAATATAATATTTTTAAAAATGAGCATAAAATGTATATATAAAAGTAACATATTTTTATGTGTGTCACTGATCATACCGATCATTCTGCAATTTGATATCTAATGTCAAAGAAGGATGTCAAACCATGACATCATATCGATCCAGGAGATGGAGAATCGCAGCAGAAGATAACACGAGACGAGGAACAGTAGAGAAGAGAAGGAGAATCGCACCAGACCGATCCAGGCTTGGAGAATCACATCAGAAGAATCAAACGAGGGTATTATTGCGATAGGTAAACATATACGCGAGACGCAGGCTATGACCCACGTTCCACGTCTAACAAAAATAAAAAAGCACGTATCCTGAAATGAACGTCAAACCCACAAAACAAACACCCACATGGCATTTTGAAAAATCACAAGCAGCAGACAAGCTGCCCCAAATGGACCCTAAACACCCGCCTTAGGTACATATTATCCTTATCATGCCCAAACTCTAACAACTCATAATCACTTGCCTCGCTTCATACACATCAAACTCATATTAATCCAACAAAGAAAGGGCATGCCACCAAGCAGCCTCCATAACAAATCTTATTACACCAATGCGAAACACAACCTTTATACGTGGGTGCTTTGATAACATCAATGGAAAATCATAACAGTAATACTCAATTAAATAAATATTTAAATATCGTGCTTATTTAGTCGGTCACCTAGGCCTGATGGGAGAAAATGTGGGTGGCGCCCAGAGCGCTCTGCAAGTTTACTTCTAGAGTTCTGCCGAGCCGCTTGGTTTTCCCTCCCAGTTAACATAAAATAAACCTCGCACTCGAAGTCTCAACCATGCTCCACTTCTGCCATTTTCCCCTCTTCCCCATTTACATCAAAACAGAGGGAGCAGAGGAGAGAGAGAGAGAGCCAGATGGAGTTAGAAAGGAGGGCGGAAGAATCTTCTCCCTCTCATCAAAAATAGCCAAAGAAATCGTAAGAGAGAGCTGCAGCAGTAGAATCTAGTCTTCGTCCTCGTCATGCTTAAACCTGGATGAAGAAATCCTTTTCTTTCTCCAATGGCACTGGACCCTGTTTTCTCTGAGGTCCTCCCATGGCTCAAGACCCTCCCCCTAGCTCCGGAGTACCACCCAACCCTAGTAGAGTTCCAAGACCCAATCGCTTACATCCTGAAGATCGAACAGGAGGCCTCCCGCTACGGCATCTGCAAGATCGTTCCCCCTGTCCCCGCCGTCCCCAAGGCCATCGCTGTCACCAACCTGAACCTCTCCTTTTCGGCTCGCTCACCCTCTGGCGATCCCACATTCACCACGCGCCAACAGCAGATCGGCTTCTGCCCGCGGCGCCCACGCCCTGTCCAGAAATCAGTTTGGCAGGAGGCTAAAGCACGTAGCTTCGAGCGTGCCCACCTTCGAAAGTGCCGCAAGAAGAACAAGTCTTCTTCCTCGCTTTCTCCCATTGAGGTTGAATCCCTCTTCTGGAAGACGGCAGCCGACAAGCCCTCCTCAGTAGAATACGCGAATGACATACCGGGCTCCGGATTTTCGAAGCTGAGGGAGGAGGAGATCGATATGACGGCTGCTGAGAATGTGGGAGAGACGGCGTGGAATATGAGGGGAGTGGCAAGGGCGAAGGGGTCGCTGCTGAGGTTTATGAAAGAGGAGATCCCAGGTGTGACATCGCCCATGGTGTATGTGGCCATGCTTTTTAGCTGGTTTGCCTGGCACGTTGAGGATCACGACCTGCATAGCTTGAATTTTTTGCATATGGGTGCGGGTAAGACTTGGTATGGAGTGCCGAGGGATGCGGCCCTGGCATTTGAGGAGGTCGTCAGGGTACATGGCTATGGTGGGGAGGTGAACCCTTTGAGTAAGTGCATTTGCATTCTTCATGTTTTGGTGTTGCTTGAACCTGCATTTCTATTTTTACAACATGGAAGTGACTTTTGTTTGTTTGTTTTTTTTTTTCTTTATTGTTGCTTATTTGGGACATTTTGATGCATACCACACAATTCTTATGTTAGTACATATCTAACATGTAAACTTTGATATTTACTAACATTTCACACAAATCCTTACATTACATAAAAATACTCTAATATTTTCTTTTTAACAATTGTGTGTTATGTGTGTGAATCTCTCTCTTTTGGCCTATCTCTACTGTAATTCCTTGTTCTTTTTTTATTCTCTCTTCATTCATGAGTACCCCCGTAGTTTTTTATTTTGATGAGGGCTTGGCTAGTTATGATTGGGAAGCATCAACTAACATGAGGGTGTGGCTAGTTATGATTGGGAAGCATCAACTAACAGCTTTGGTGGGAGATTGGAAGTAAATCTAGCAGCTAAGAATGATTTTTAGTAAGTTGCTTTGCTTCTATTTTAGCTACAAAATCATTGTCTTGTCCCCAAAGAGAAGTTAACATTAATTATTTTAACTTTCAATCAAGTTGGAAGTAATTATTTAGATTTTAATTCTATGTTAGTTGAGTTACCTTTTTTTTTTAATGTGTAACTTGGTCTTAATTTTTCTAATTTCATTGTATGCTTTGGTTTTCTATTTAGCTTTGTGCTTCATCGGTAGCGTAGGCTTTTATTAAATATCATTGGATTGTTACATGGGTTAATGAGATATGATCGCTTCACACACAATGATCACTTATTATCATTTTAAGTTTGGTGGGTTAGTAAACACTTATTAAATTAATAATAAACATGATTTAACATATCAATTGGACTACCATATTATTCTAAAATACGAAATAATCCAATGTAAAAGTCCATAATTACGTCCGGGCATGATGACCCAATAACACAAGGGCCTAGTGAATTGAAAATGCAATCAAAATGGAGAAAATGCCACTAGAATGTCTAGGGTTCACAAGATTAGACTCTGTGGCAGTGATGATTATGATGTATGTGCTATGCATTAGATATTATATGCATTCTTTTTTTTTATTTACCTACTAAAGACGTAAAGACATACTATAATAGTGGCAGCAATGTAATGTGTTAGCTTATTGACACCGAGGTTTGAAGTGTTTGCTATCGTAGTGTCCTTTATGGTTGTTTTATTTCAGTTTTGTTTATTTTTCCTGTGTTTTCTATTACTTTATTTCTTTGGATGACAAACTTGTAATTATGAAGGGTATTAGTTTAAGCAAAAAAACCCGTAGGATGTTTTAGTTGGTATTTTTTCAAGACTTTTCTAGTTTTTTTCTGATTGGTGGCTTGGCATTCATTCTACCTCCTTGCTACTGTATCCTGAGGTGGCTCTCAGGTGATGTCTTGCCATTAATATAACTGAGTTCTCTCAGAAATCCATTTATTTTCTTGCAATTCTTCTTCCTATTCTCTATTTGTCCAAATCAACATACATGCTATTATCATTTTGGTATCCGGGCAACATGTTGCCATAAAGAAATATTGCAATAACCTTTCAACAAATGCTTTGCAAAAATTACAACATGAAATCAGGCGACTACAAGAGTGACTTGCTGCCTTGGAGAAAAAAATTCAGAAGATCGAATAGTAGAATCAGGATTGAATGCGAAGCATGAAGAAGGTGAAAATCCTTTTCACTAAGAATTTTTCAATAATGAGGTGCAAATAGGTGTGTAAATAAGTCAAATAGAGCTTGAGCCATGCCATTAGTAAGCTCGGTTTGTCAGACAAATTGTGCGCTCAAATTAGATCTCAAATGTTCAGCTCAGGCTCGCCTCGTAGTGGTAGCAGCTGGCTCAAGAGCCATCTCGCGAGCTCGAAAAAAAAATAAAATTTTATGGAAGCTCACTGGAGAATGTATTGGTGGCCGGAGGAGGAGGAGGATGCAACAACAACTCACTGGTAAATGCATTAAAATGACTAGCGGTGGGCTAATCGAGCTAGCTCGCTAGCTGACGAGTCAAGCCGGGTTGAGCTCGAGTTCTTTTAATAAATAAGCTCAAGTGTAAGCTAGTGCTCATGGCTTGATAAGTTCGGCTTGCGAGTTCGTTAACGAGCCAAGCTCGAGCTGGCTCACAAGCGGCTCTACTCATTTACACCCCTAGGTGCAACCGTTGCATGCGTAGAGGAGAGAAAGACACCACAATGTTGTTGATTTTTGAATCAAGATGGGTATTTCGGATTTTGAAGGCCGATTAGATTCAAATGAATTTATTAGTTGGCTACACACCATAGAGCGAATTCTTGAATATAAAGAAATTCATCCAGGATAAATTGTTAACCTTGTAGCCATTAAATTTAGGAAGAACACGTCTCTTTGATGGGAAAATGTGAAGAGAACACAACAGAGGGAAGATCGATCCAAGATTACCACTTAGAGCAAGATGAAGAAAGAAATACAACGTAAATTCCTTTCGGAACACGATAGATAAGAGGTGTTCCTTCGACTATACCAATATGTTGCTGAATTTGAACTAGAGCCGAAATGTAACCTTTTTGAACTCGAAGAACATACAATTGCAATTTTCTTGGATGGTCTATGACCATCTATGGCTAATGTGGTTCAACTCCAGCCTTTCTGGACACTATAAGATGTAATTAGCTTGGCTGCGAAGGTAGAAAAACAACATAAATTTGGTAGGAACCTTTCAATGCACATTCCTACCACCGACTTGGTCAGTTCTATCAAACTGATTCAAGCCAGGATGCAGCCCGACAATCGATGAAATGTAACCTTTCAATGCACATTCCTACCGCCGAAATGTAACCTTTTTGAAAACAAGCATAACACCAAACTAGCCTCTGGGGACTATTACCACATACATGTGAGGAACTTCATCCAATAGATGATGCTTTCAATGTCATTTAGTTGGCCACACAACCTCAAATTGTTTAAGTTGGCGTGTCACTTGGTAGAGGAATCCAAATTGGAGGAAGATGATGCTATAGAAGAAGACAATAATATGATAAGGGAGCAAGTGATACATGTGGACAAAGGGGAATTATTTGAGATAAGATGTTTCCTAGGCGTCGAATAGTTTTCCAATAAATATTGGTTACGACACCATGTTTTTAGAACCCCGTTGTATGGTATGGGATAAAGTTTGTAACTTTATCATCGACGGTGGAAGTTGTGAAAACTTGGTTCCAATAGTTATGGTGGTGAAGCTTGGGCTTGCTACATAATTACATCCCCATCTCTATTGTCTCATGCCTCAAGTATGTAGTTGAAATTAAACCACCCGACTGTGTCAACTTTGACAATACAACTGCTGTATGATTCATGATGGATATGCAAAGACTTATTCATTTATTAAAGAGGGAATTCAAACTATTTTGGTGCCAAAGGTAGAAATTTTGTAGGGGACTGAAATCAACACTTTTACTCCATTGCTTTTGAAAGATTTGAAGGAGGCGGTGACAGGATAACTCCTAATCATATTCGAAAATTTTGGACAAGAATCAATACCCCCTTCTAAAGGCTAGTGATTGATACAACAGTTAGAAGACATCTTCCCATTGGGCATGCCTGTAGGATTACCTTCTATTATAGGTACAACATTCCATTGACCTTGTGCCTGGTTTAGTCATCCCCAACAAATCTACATATATGACGTCTCTAAAAGAACACAATGAGCTTCAACGCTAATTGGAGGAGCTGATCCGCAAAGGCTTGGTGCGGCGTAGTGCTAGCCAGTGTGCAGTTCTGACTCTCTTGGTTCTGAAGAAGGACGGGAGATGATACATGTCCATTGGCAGTCATGCTGTAAATAAAATCACTGTCAAATATAGGATTTCCATTCCTCGATTTGACGACTTTTTTGGTCAATTAGTAGGGGTGGTTATTATCTCCAAAATTGACCATTTTGATCAATTAGTAGGTTTCCCATTCTTCAATGCGACTGAGAGAACAATGGAAAATTATGTTTATGATAAGAGATGGGCTATATGAATTGACGGTGATACCTTTCGAGTTTTCAATGCCCCAAACTTTTATGAGAAAGTTTGTGGTGATCTATTTCGACTAAATTTTGATTTATAGATCTAACAAGGTTGAATATCTGTAACATTTACATGGTATTTTATAGGTCTTACGATTGCGACAATTTCCGAATAAGGTTGAGTGTTAATTCCTAGTTTCCCACATCAATTTATTGGAATTTGTGATCTCGACAGTAGGGATGGAGGTGGATTCCCACATAATTGTTGCTACCAGGGATTGACCGACACCTACATCCTTCACTGAAGTAAGAAAATTCCACAGGTTGGCCCTTTTTTATTGTCTTTAATCAAGAGCTTTAGTAACATTGCTGCCCAATTAACCGAATTGCTCAAGAAAACTCATTTTTGCAGATCCGAGCAATCACGACTAGGATTTCATTATTTGAAACAAGCCCTATGTACAACTCCAGCCTTAATGCTCCCATATTTTGATCTTTTGTTTGAGATGGAGTTTGATGCATCCGACTTCGGCATTGGAGTAGTCCTCAAGTTAATAAGGGCATCCCGTAGCATTTTTTAGCTGACGAATTACCTTAACTACTCCATATAGAAATATTCAACATATCACAAACAATTCTATTCTATCGTAAGGGCTCTACAACGTTGGCGCATTATTATTTAGCTTAAGAATTTGTTCTCTTTACAGATCACAAAGCTCTTAAGTACCTTCAAAGTCAAAATAAATTAAAAGGAAAACACACCACATTGGTTGAATATATTCAAACTTTAATTTGATCCTCAAGCACAGATCAGGGCTTTCTAATCAAGTAGCTGATGCTCGAAGCCGACGACAAGCTATTTTGTCGGTCATGCATGCATGGGTTATGGGCTTTCAGCTATTACGAGGGATGCATGACAATGATCTTGACTTTCAAGTGGCATGGCTGCAATGTCTAGTCAAAAATTGTAAAACTATTCACAACAAGGATGATTTCCTGTTCAAAGTAAATTTTTGTTGCATTCATAAGTGTTCCTTTAGAGAAGTCATATTTTTTGAAGGCCATGACGGAGGCCTAGCAGGTTATTTTGGAAGAGAGAAGACTTTAGCTCTTTTACAAGACAAATTTTATTGCTCCTCTATACGTAAAGATGTGGACTGTCATGTGAAGAGGTGTCGTACTTGTCATATAGCCAAGACAATAATGCAAAACTCAAGCTTACACCTTCTGTTGCTCGTTCCTGAGTATTCTTGGATGGTTGATAGCTTGGGATTATGTGGTTGGTTTACTCGCACTCAAAGTCACAAGGACTCTATCATGATTGTGGTAGATAGGCTCTCCAAGATCCCACTTTGTGCCATGCAAGACCTCAAGTTTGATAGGGATGTCGAGTTTTTAAGCTACCTTTGGAAGATATTATGGAGCAGATTTGGAATCGAACTCCAATATAATTTAACTTCCCCTCCACAAACCGGTGGGCAAATAGAAGTTGTTGATAGAAGTCTTGAGAATCTACTTCGTTGCTTTGTGGGTAAGCACCTTGTATAATGGGACCTCATTCTATCATAAGTGGAGTTTTCCTATAACCGATCCCGCAACCAAACCTCTTTTTATAGTTCTTTTGAGCTGGTTTATGGAAGAATTGCTATATCTCTGCTTGTACTTACATTGGGTATTCCAATCAAGGCCACGACCTTAGATACGGAAGCTCGATTACAAGAAATCTAAGAGCTCCATAAATTGGTTCGGGAGAATATCATTAGACAAAATGAAGTTTATTAGCAACAAGCAAACAAAAATAGAAGGGCGAAGGAGATGAAGTTTGGATTCGATTAAAGAAAACATTTTCCTCTGGGGAAACATGAGAAGCTCAAGGTTAAAGCTGATGGAACTTTTCAAATATTTCAGTCTCTTTGATGTGTCCCGTGTTTTCTGTTGTTTTATTTACTTGGATGACAAATATTTAATTATGAAGTGTCTTAGCTTAGGTATAAAAGGCATATCGGATGTTGTGATTGGCAGTTTTTGGAGAGTTTTTTAGTTTCTTTTCTAAAGGATGGCTTGGTATTTATTTCGCCTCCTTGTTGCTGTATCTTGAGGTGGCTCTCACGTGGTGTTTTGCTATTAATATTGCTGAGTTTCTCCTCTCAAAAATCCACTTATTTTCTTGCATTCCTTCCTGTTCTCTGTTTTTCCAAACTGACATACATGTCTTTATCACTTATGCTTTGGCTTTTTTATTTAGTGTTGATACTTCTTGTCATGATGCAATAGCTTCAAGCCTCTAGTTCTTGTATTTGTTACGTAGTAGTTTATGTAGGTCAGGATGCGCTTCTATTTTTATGACAAATGTTTCTTCTGGTAGCATATGGAAATGCTACAATAATTTTGGCAATATGGATATTTTTTATACCTTAAAGAAGTATTAAACTTTCTTTAATGGAATATATTGTTTCTTTGTCAACCATGTTGAGAGATTCTACCCCTCTTATTCTTTATAAAAGAGGTCTTTGTAGACTGGGTGAATATGATGCGATACTGTCAACTATCAACATGGTCTGACCATTTAGTCAATTTTGTTTGGTAGGGCCAGTCTCATTGATTAACTTAAAGACGCTGAACCAGACAATAGAAGAGTTGATTCGTACATGATTCCCCCATTCTATAGTACTGGCAGCAAGGACCATTTAGTCATTTTGGTTTGAAGGGCTGTCTCATAGGCTAACTTCAAGGATCTGAACTAAATAATAAAATAGTTAAACCATACCTATTGTCATGCTTTTCTAGAATCATTGTCATTTATGGATAACTTAAATTTTAAATTATTTTGGAATGTAATTAGGATAAGGTTGCTTTCATTCTTAATTTGGGTTTTAGTTCGTTTAAATCCATGACCTCATATGTGTATTATGGGTAAATTACACCCAAATCCCTTATAGATTAAAGATCATTTCATTTTTGGATATATTTTTTAAACGGTACATTGTGGTTCTTGAGTTTGATCTTGCACTTTAACAGGATGCCTTCATGATTGTTTTATTAAAAATCCTCTGAATTTTAAGCAGCTTCGCGTATAAGATGAACTGGACTATCTAATTGAACTTTTAGCAACAATGGCTCTAGTTGTTCACTAACTCATCCTCTCCAGCAAATAGCTCCAACAGTGCTTATGCATTGTTGTAGGGAACGAAGCTTCACAGTGTTCATGTATGTTTTGACTATACCTTCAAACATATGAAGAAGTATTAAGGACCCTGTTGTATGTTTTTTAAAAGCATGGGTTAAGATGAAACAACTATTTAATCTTAGGTACCCAAATATCAAACATTTGTTCATGGATCATATGTATGTTAACAGGATTTTACTTTTACTACAGATTTCAACTGATGCTAAACACTAGGTGCATCTTTGAACTAATTGTTAAATTGGAGTTGTAGGTGACATGAAAATGCACCAATAACCCAATTGTTAGGTTTTGAAAAATGTGAATTTGAAGTGACTTCTCAACCATAGGCTTTAAATATAATTTATTGAATGGATTACTGGTTTTGAAGTTATGGAGAGCTCAAGAAAAATCTCCTACGGCCATTGCTTTGACTTCCTAATATTGTTATTATTATTTTTTATGAGGATTTAGCTGCTCGATGTCTTCAGATTTTAACATCAATAACTTGAGAAATGCTTTTGTTGGTATCTTTTTGTTTGAATCTGTCTTTTTAATTTTCACTATTCTGTTGCATACCTCTGTTTCACAAACTACATGAACTTGTTTTCTGTGCAAGCATTCTAAGAAAAAAATTACTGCAACGTTTCTGCACTTCAACGTGGCTATACCCCTATTGAGCCATTTTTAGGCTTTAATTATTTCCATGAGGGCAGCTAGTATACTACATTAATTTTTTAAAAAGTGAAGCATTTTGGTAAAATACTATTAACTTGATTACAAAGGGAATGAGAAGTTCATAAGCTCTTTTGATTTAACTGAGACAAAAGTCTATTGATGTTAATTCCGATATTTTGATACATTAGCAGATTGCTGTAGGAAAGAATAGACAACAATATCATCTATGTTTGGGTTTTGGATATGGAATCATGGGTGTTGTGAAACGCAAACTGTGAACTCTTCAATTTTTACATTGATGGCTCAAGTTGAATGCTTGAATCCTTTACGGGTAACTAAATACTGTTAATTATTATTAAGAAAAGCATGTTTATTGATTTAATGATGCGTGAAATTCAGCAGATTGATGTAATACTATTAAAAAAGATTACTTGTTCTAGAAGGGTAATTTTACCTGTTAGTTGGGTGATTTTCTATGGTTTATTTGTAATGAGGGTGAGCCTGTACTGCCATTGTTGGCAAACTAGTATTAGTGGAGTGAAGGGATTTGACTATCAGGAGGCATTTCTCTCTAATCAAAAGTTGAATTGACAATGTTTCTAGGGAGTACTGGAGTAACAACTTTATATGTAATTTCATTTCTTCAAGAAACTTTGGTTTGCATTTTGTTCGTTACTTTGCATCATGGTCAATAATGCTCATTGCAAGAGAATCGCTTAACATTTTTTCTTACTTGTAGTTGTAGCAATTATTCTGGTATATAGTGTTGCATAATGAACTTATTGAGTACTTCTCATGCATACTTTGTAACTTGTGGCAGTAACATTTGCTACCTTAGCAGAGAAGACAACCCTTATGTCTCCTGAAGTGCTTATTGGTTCGGGAATTCCTTGTTGCAGGTGATTTTTAGCATGATGAGAGTATGTCTTTAATTGTACTATTTTGGTCCTGGCTATCAGGCGCGTGATTCAGATAAGTTAGGTAATCTTTTTTTGAATAGGTTGGTGCAGAATGCTGGAGAATTTGTTGTTACTTTTCCAGGATCTTACCACTCAGGTTTCAGCCATGGTATTGCAACTTTGTTCGATAATGTTCTACATTTCTTTTTTTGTTCATTTAGAACTTGCTCTAAAGTTGTATTATTGCTCCATGTGGTAAGTGAGGTTCATTTAAGTTTCCCTTGAAATGTTTTTCACTGCAGATTTTATTTTTCAAGTTCAATTTACTTTTTTTTTATGATCTTGATTGATAGATCTTAGATTCAAGTATTATTGAAGGTTTGGTTCTATTTGGTCATGGACCCTTCTGATGTTTTTTGGCAGAGATATAAAGCTTAATATAAGTGAAGTTCAGATTTTCCATGATCGCTAACGCTTGGATTTTTTTGGCGTTATTTGGTCATGGACCATTCTGATGTTTTTTGGCAGAGATATAGAACTAATATAAGTGAAGTTCAGATTTTCCATGATCGCTAACACCTGGATTTTTTTGGCGTTAATTTAGTTTATCCATTTGTTTTCTTATCGCTTGCCTTGAAATCACCTGAAACTAGGCTGGCTTTACCACATTCTCTTACTCATCATCAGAACAAAATTTTACAATCATAACATTGGTAGGAATAAAGAATTACTTCTGAATGTTAATTCATCTACTGCTGTAATTCCTGATATATTTTAGTTATTCCCCTCTGTACAATCCGTTCAACACAAGTCAAATCAAACTATGCCTCCTGGTTTGAGCTTGTCCCTGCAATAGAACTGCCAACTTAAACAAAGCTGAGTTGCTAGAGCATGTTTTGTTGGATGATCTTGGGTGATTACAATTAACAAGAAATGATGTCAGTGATTGCTACCAATGGTAAAATTAAAGTTGTATTTTATATTCCCTTTAATTTGATAAGCACAAATTTTAACCTTTTATGATTGCCAAATTATGTATTGTGTTTTTTAAACAACTTATCTTAGAATAAATCTAGATTAATTATGTTTTTCTTACATTACAATGATGTTATATTTCATGGATATGCTTACATAGCACAATTTTCATGCAAACTGTAATTATTAATTTGTATTATGCTCTATGTATCTGTATGGACTAGGCACTGCAGGTTAATTATGGAATCTTTCGCAAGCTGTTTATCATGAATGCTGATATATGAAGCTATGTGAAATTGTGAATGCCACATATGCAGAAGACTTGATCATTATGGCCGGAATCTTTATTGACCATGGGTCTGTTAACTTAAAGCTGTGATACTCTATAATCAAAGTAGATCCCACACGCAATTAGCTGCTGTTTAGAGGTAAAGGATGAAACGATGCATAAAAGCACAACCTTGTAATTCTCAAAGATAGAATTAGGTTTTGGAGGCAAGCCTAAAATATCACATAATGTATGTTCTTTTGAGATTAATCACTTGATTCAATTATCTAAAAGCTGGAAGGCTTAGTGGAAAAGAAAGAGTAATATAATATTGATATAAATGGTGACAATTTTACAGGCCCAGTCAACTGTGATCTTACTACACATTATCATCATCTTAAGGATGCTAACCGAGCTAAGCATAGGATGATGGTGTACATCTTCCACTAAAAACTCGTGTGAAGTTCTTTCTTAAAGATGTGTTGGTTTTCTCTATTTATTGAAGAATAGCTATTGAAATAAAGATGAAATATGTTTATAGTGTCAGGAACAAAGAGTTAGACAGACTAGCATACAATTGATAGATATCTGACAAGTTTTGGCAATGGCTGTTTGCAACGGCCAATGCAAAAATCTTATTTTTGGGATAAGATGGATTTTGATACTGTGTGGAGTTACACTGTTAGAGCAACAGAGAACACAAGGAAGGCTTTATGTTTTAATCGAGCATCTCATTCTTTTTTTATGCAATAATTACTTAACAAAAAATTAATTAGTTTATTGTTAGTAACTTATCCAACTTAAAAATAGAGAAGTATTTTCAACCTCCAAGTGAAATTTATTGATGATGACTGATGTAAGCAACACTATTAATTAAATATTCAATTTTTTATAATATAATTCAAAAATTTGGATTTTGTTTTATTAATGTTATTTTATGGCTTATTTATTTTCATAGGATTGATGTTCTACCAAATATGTTGTTGCTTTATTTGCTTGTCATCCTATTGCCCTTTCACTCTATACCATTATTCTTAGGTCTTGATTGTGGCAATGAATGAATATTAAATGAAATAAAAAATTATCCCCGTCAAGTTGCTGACTGTTCTTCCTTCTCACTTCTCTAGTCTTTCCCTCCCTTTATTGTGTCATTCTATGCCTCTCCTTTGCATTGAGTGAATTCGAGCTGGGAGTGATCCCTGTCTTCTAAATTCTAGCCCTCTGAGTGATCTGGAATCTTCCTTATGCCACATACATGCCATGCCACACAAAGTTGTTTTAAAGTAATATGCTTTTCTTTTACTAGTTATATTTCTTGGCTTCATGTTCTCCTTCAAAGTTCATCTACAAAAGTTTTTTGATGGGCTTGGCCTTAATCCGTTTCTAATGTTTGTAGTTTATATGGATTGATTACATATTAACTCATTTTATTAGAGGCTTTACTGCATCATTGCCTCTTTAATAGACATCCTAAAGTTGGACAAAGTCTGGTAGATTCCTACCGTCACTAGAATAATGGAGTCCCTCATATTTAATTTTCAGATTTCACACGAGTTTCATGAGAACTTGGAATGTTTTGAAGCATGGTAGTTTATTAAGTTCTTAAATTCATCTTGTTGTGTACTTTTTGACAGGCTCAGTGATGCTTGGTAAATGTACTCCAATTATGATGTGAATATTTATGCCATAGTGCAAGCTTCGTGGTATCAGCATTATTATCTTCCTAACTATGAGCTTGTCTTGTATTCTTCCACCATGCTTTGCAATGTTTTCTTTCTAAAAAAGAATTGAATGCCCACCATGCAAAATCGGTTGCATTTAAGCAAGAATATTCATTATTCTTAAACATCATTATGGAGTCGAAGATATTGGTGTTAATACAATCAATATTGTCGTCTTCTTGCTTAGCACTATGATTGTGAAGGTGACACCATTTTAGAGCTTCTAGAAGTGTTTAGGAAGTGAATTTTGTAGGTAGGTGGTTGTGGAATAGCAAGGGAATGATCATGTGTGAGGCTGATAGAATTTGGATGGGACTATAAGGCTTTTGGTCGTTGCCTGGACTAAAAACAGTGAAAAAACCATGAAATGCTGGCTTTGATGGGGCACAATTGCCAAGGGCTTAGGGTGTAACAACCAGTAAAAAAAATAAAACTAAGTTATAATATTACTGATCAAAAGGACATAAGAATAAGCACCGGTTTGTTTCGTCTTTAAGAGCCGTAGGTTCCTTTCAAAGAGAGTAGAAATCGGAGGAAGAAAGAAGGGGAGAAATAACAAGAAGAAACGAAGGAAAGGGTAGCATGCGGCTCCCGTGCAACATGGGAAGTGGAAGATGGAATTGAGAAACCATTGTGTGAGGGAGAACCTACCGAGAGGGATTTTGGTGTGGGTGTTTGCGTAAGAAGTTGATGCCACTGTTTGTTGTGGGTTCGCTTAAGATTGACGAAACCAGCATTGTGCGTTAAGGAGTATACACATTGACGAGGAAGCGTGCAAGACTAGTAGGCAACATTGCTTGCGGGAGGAAGGTGGTCAGACGGTTTGGACGCTTGTATATGCATGTTCAAAAGAGTTCACCCCTTAATGGTACAGATAGCGGACACCATTGTACTTGCATGCCTATGATTTCTCTACTACCCCAGATAATTATGATACTTTGTTCACTAACCGCTGTGTCGACGGGATAATATTGGTCAGGGGCATGTAGACTACAACTTACTTCCCTAAACATTTGTAATGTTTACATTACTAGTTGATGTGCCGACGGGAAAATATAGGTCAAGGGCAGGTAAGGGCTTTTCCACCCTAGACAATTGCAATGTGTACATCGCTAACCGCTGTGTCGATGGGAGCCGATGGGGCAATATCGTCCAAGAGTGTGTTATATTGTTTTGACGGTGATCCATAAAGCAGACATATGTGTATGTAAAGAGTATAAAATATGGTAAAGTTAAAGTTAATGTACATATAAATTTAGAGTATTTTCAATGCATTGATTTATTAAAAGATTTCATGTGAAAGATTAACATTGTAAAAGATATCTTATAGAGATATAGAAGACCAACATGCATTTAATTTTTTTTCTTTGGATTACTGTAGTCTAGAAGTGTAATTATTCATGGGCTATCTTTAGATATCTCATTATATTGTTTTAATATTCTTCTGGTTTTAAGATTTTGATTAAGATTAACATAAATCATCAAATGTATATAGAAGATGAGAATAACAATTTAAAATCTACAAATTTTTTATGTATTAATTTTAATTGTTTTATTTAGTGACTCTTTCATGATTTTTTTGAATATTAAATTGTTAGTAATCGAAATAGAATAACAGAAAATTGATTTTTCACCGTCCGATCGTTTGTACCCGTCTTGGTTAATCTGAAGCTCTTGGTCCGATCGTGACGTAAGATTTTTGTGGTAGGTGTCGGGACGGATTTTTTGTGGAGGTGAGATGGTAGGTGTCGGGACGGATTTTTTGTGGAGGTGAGATGGTTAGCTTTTGAATATTTAGCATGAGGGCTAGGAATTGCGGTGGTAATGGTTCGGGTATTGTATTGGTCGAAGATTTAGGTTACATGAATTTTAGACTTACAGGTAGAAAAGATGTTTCCCTAAAGTTTTTGGGTTTGTAGAGCTTTCATACCAAGTAAGACTGTTCTAGGGCTCTTAGAAAGTGTTTAGGAAGTAGATCTAGTGAGGAGGTTGTTGTGGAATAGCGAGAGAATGATAAAATGCAAGGCTGACGACATTTAGAAGGTGATAGGAAGTGTTCAATGGCTGTTCAGGCTGAAAATAATGGAGAGAACCATGAAATTCTGGCTTTGATGAGGCATGATTGTTGAGGGAGATCCACCACTTGTGCTTCAACAACCTATTTTTCTAAATAAGCTATAGACACACCACTTGTAAAATGATAAT